CCCGCCTCGGCCTCCCAAAGTGCTGGGATTACAGGCATAAGCCACCGCGCCCGGCCCACGCCTGGCTAATTTTAAAATTTTTTGTAGAGATGAGGTCTCCCTGTATTGCCCAGGCTAGTCTCCTGGCCTCAAGTGGTCCTCTTGGCCTCCCAAAGTGCTGGAATTACAAGCATGAACCATTGCACCTGGCCCAGAAAACTAAATTTCAACCCCAATCCTGCCAAAAAGTTCAGGAAAACACTAAAGCTTTCTTTATATCCTTTTGTGTCTGTGTTTGATGGAGTAAGATAGGCAAGAACATGCTGCTTAAAGGAAATAGGGCAATGCCAATTATTTTTCTCCAATTAGAATTTTACAGTATTTAACTTGAACTTCATTTTTTTCCCCATCATGTATTTTAATAAGTTTACATCTATATAATTGCTGACTCCTAAGAAATAAAATGTTATCTAACATTCAAAATTCTGAAAATGATTTTTAAAATCTTCATGTCTTTAGTTTTTTAGTTGCCAATCCATTCTTTATTTACGTCATAAGTCCCAGTAAGTCTCTATTAAATAGCTCTTAGTAGGTGTGAACTATCCCCAGCATCATCTGTACTACACAATCTAAGCAACTCTTTAGAAATGCAATGCTACAGGGCTTGTTCAAGACATGCCACTGAGACAAGACTACCTTGGGACTTCTTTAATATAACGATCGTAGGCAATTGTGTTCTTCCCATAGTTGATCTGTTTCTGTCTCCTCATTAGGACACTTTCATCTGTCTCAAAGTCAGCCGGCACAGTGGACACAGACTCCTTTGAATCAGAACTGAAAAAACAACAGATTAACAGAATAAGCCCTGCAATTAAGATCACCATGTAAGGTAAGCCAAGAAAATGTCAAAACACAATAATGGAGGATTCACTCCAGATTCCCAACCATATTAATCCTCAACAGTCCAGAGACTGCATGTATGGGAATTTAGTACACAACAGATATAGTATTTCAAATCAGTGAAGAAAGTATTAATAAAATGCTACTGTAACAATCAGCATTTCTGACAGTCACAATTTTTTTTTTTAACAAATTACAGGTCTATCAAATTAGAAAATAATCATTTACACAGCCTTTACCTTCCTGATGATGATTTTCTCTCTCTTCCAAAGTCATTGATGAGAAGTTTCCTTTTATATCTGAGGGCAAAATAAATATTGCTGTTTTTAAAAAAGGTATAAAAATAAAGCAGCCAGGTCTGAGGAAGCTCCACCCTGATACCCTCAGGCACACCATCCTATGAAATCCAGAAGCTCCCTGGGCCAAAAGAAATCCTTGTCAGGTTCAGTTTAAGTAGTGAGATCCACACAACAAAAATGTACATCCCCAAAAACTTAGCAGCCTTAAAAAAAGAAAAAGAAAACACAAATTGAAATATATTTTTATTTTAAAAACACCACACTTACTAATGGGACCCGTATGCCTACTGGGCACTGCATACCTTCTCCAATCTTGGAGACCAAACATGCCCCCTCCTTTTGTCTTGTTCCTCATGAACTTCCTGAGGCATCTGCTTTCTATTGCAGTCATTACCAGAACACGGCTTTGCAAAAAACAGAAATATGACATCTCCAAAAGGAGTCTAGCGCCATCTAACGTTGAAACCACGAACTACCTTGAGCTCCAAGTTCATGTGGGTATCTTTTTTTGAGATGGAGTCTCACTCTGTCACCCAGGCTAGAGTACAGCAGCACGATCATGGCAGCTCACCACAGCCTCATACTGCTGGGCTGAAGCAATCATTCCACCTCAGCCTCCCAAGCAGCTAGGACTCCAGGCAAGTGCCATCACACCCATCTCCAAAAAATTTTTTTTTTTTTTTGGAGAGATGGAGGTCTATATGGCCCAGGCTGCTCTTGCACTCCTGAGCTCAAGCGATCCTCCCACCTCGGTCTCTCAAAAGTACTGAGATCAGGAGTGAGCCACCACACCTGGCCTGTCATGCAGGCATCTAAATTATGTCATGTATCACTGTGCCTCCTCTTAAAATCTAAAATCCACCCAAGTTTGCTGAGGTGTTCAGTGCAGCTTGGACGCCAGAAGGTAATGAAGTGATTATCTCCTGTGCTATCTCCTATCTAGAGTAGCACTAGCTATATAACACCATCTTTGTATGATTCAGAGATTAGTCCTGCAAATCATGTGCTACAGGGCCTCATTCTCTCCAGTACCACAGATGACAAAGACTGGTTTCAGGTATGATGAAAATCCATTTTCTTTTTTTTTGAGATGGAGTTCCCTCTTGTTGCCTAGGCTGGAGTGCAATGGTGAGATCCTGGCTCACTGCAACCTCCGCCTCCCGGGTCCAAGTGATTCTCCTGCCTCAGCCTCCCAAGTGGCTGGGATTACAGGCATGAGCCACCACACCCAGCTAATTTTGTATTTTTAATAGAGATGGGGTTTTTCCATGTTGGTCAGGCTGGTCTCGAACTCCTGATCTCAGGTGATCCACCAGCCTTGGCCTCCAAAAGTACTGGGATTACAGGCGTGAGCCACCGTGCCATGCCAAAAATCCATTTTCATACTCTTATACTGCTAGTTTGTAGTCTGTTAGTCTCCTTAAAGCACAGTAAGCTGACATTTCATACCCCTTACTGTTGGGAAGTAAGCTGGCCTGCCAGTAACGGCTCACTAAAGGGCCAGGAGGTTTTAAATCACACAGGTGGCACTAAAAGCTGCAGCTTTGGCCGGGCACGGTGGATCACGCCTATAATCCCAACATTTTAGGAGGCCAAGGTGAGCGAATCACCTGAGGTCAGAAGTTTGAGACAAGCCTGGCCAACATGGTGAAACCCAGCCTCTACTAAAAATACAAAAATTAGCCAGATATGGTGGCACATGGCTATAATCCCAGCTACTCAGGAGGCTGCGGCAGTAAATCGCTTGAACCTGGGAGGCAGAGGTTGCAGTGAGCCGAGATTGCACCACTGCACTCCAGCCTGGGCAACAGAGCAAGACTCCATCTCAAAAAATAATAATAATAAATAAAAGCCATAGCTTTCCTTCACAAAGGGTATAATCAACAGAGTAGTCCAAACAGTGCTGTTTTCCAAAACAAGACAATTTTCAGGCACAGACCCATGAGATATCTGAAGAATAAATAGGGATCCACTCACAGGACAATATGAGCTGCAGATAATCCCTGGCAAGGGGTGACTTGAGGGAGCAACTAGGCTATAGGTATGCAAGAACTGTTCTAAGACTTGTGAATGCAACACAAACTATACGGGTTAAGTCAACATTCTTTTTTTTTTTTTTTGAGACGGAGTCTCGCTCTGTCGCCCAGGCTGGAGTGCAGTGGCACGGTATCGGCTCACTGCAAGCTCCGCCTCCCGGGTTCACGCCATTCTCCTGCCTCACCCTCCTGAGTAGCTGGGACTACAGGCGCCTGCCACAACGCCTGGCTAATTTTTTGTATTTTTAGTAGAGACGGGGTTTCATCGTATTAGCCAGGATGGTCTTGATCTCCTGACCTCGTGATCCACCTGCCTCGGCCTCCCAAAGTGCTGGGATTACAGGCGTGAGCCACTGCACCCGGCTAACATTCTAATTTTATAGTTGAGAAAGTGAAGACCTATATAAATACAGTAATTCACGAAAAACATTGATACTCACATCTGTGCACTCCTACTTCATTTCTTTTACCAAGGCATACTATCCACCCAAACATTTTGATACCAGAAGAAATTACAAATAACTCCCCCAAATGTTCAATAACCAATGCCCACATATTCCTGTCCCTTTTCAAAGGAGGCAGCTATAAATACCATCACTGGCTGCCAAAATGAGAACAGGTAGTCTAGGTATGATTCCGTGGCTGACACGCAAGACACTTTTTTCTCAAGACCCTGTTTATCAGCCAGCTGTTGGCTAAAATTATCTTGTAAAATACTTCAACTAATTATAAGCCACATTTTAACTCGGTTTGAATAAACCCAGTCCATGCAACTGGGTTTGAGTTAGGCAACTCATCAAAAGAGAAAGGACCAACACACTGATAATCAAGGGAGATTAAACAGTGGTTAAGGATGCATTAGGTAATGAGTCAACGAAGAGGAAGTAGCTTAGTTTGCGGTAACTTGGATACACACACAATCTTGTGTACAACTGCAAGAGGTTCACAGAATCCAAGTTTGAGACCTTTCCTTGTATGTTGGCATTTCTGAGCTGTGTTTGTTGCCTGAGCCGGTGTCAATGTATTCCTTCATCTGGAGAGAGCACTCCATCTAGTGTGCTGGGTTGTGTGAGCACCGCACACAGAAGGTCGGTGGTAACAAATGACTGTAGTAAGTTCCTGATAGTTAGGCCGGGCCCACTGGCTCATGCCTGTAATCCCAGCACTTTGGGAGGCCAACGTGGGCGGATCAGGAATTCGAGACCAGCCTGACCAACATGGTGAAACCCCATCTCTACAAAAAATACAAAAATTAGCCAGGCGTGGTGGCCTGTGCCTGTAATCCCAGCTACTCAGGAGGCTAAGGCAGGAGAATCTCTTGAACCCGCGAGGCAGAGCTTGCAGTGAGCCGAGATCTTGCCACTGTACTCCAGCCTGGGCAACAGAGCAAGACTCTACCTCCAAAAAAAAGAGAAAGTTTCTGATAGTCCTCCAGCCTGCAATCCAGCAGTAACACCACTGTGCACCTACTTCCACTCTCAGAAGGATTACCACCAGGAACACAGTGGTCTCCAAGCTTGAAAGAGTGGACTCACCTGCAGGGCTTTTCACAGGATGGCCAGGCCCCACCCGATTCGCAGGCCCAGGGAAGGGTTTGAGAATCTGTATTTCCAACAAGTCCCCAGTAAATGTTGATGCCTTTGGTCTGGAGCCCAGACCTTTGAGAACCACTGTTCTAAGACATATATCAAATTTAATGTGTTACTGAAAATGCCACAGATTAACACTTCAAAGTGGTCCAAAATGTGTACCTTGCCATTTCTTTGTTAACTCTGGTCCTCATTTCATCTTCTTCAACTGCACTTGCCCAGTCAGAGCATCTGGAACGGGGTTTAGGGCCTTCAGGAGTGGTAAAGCTGCAATAAAACGAAAATGCTGCTGAACCATGATATGTACTTTGTTTCCTTTCAAACTGTATGTCAAGAAATATTCAAAGGCTGGTGGGGCACAGTGGCTCACGCCTGTAATACCAGCACTTGGGAAACCAAGATAGGAGGATCACCTGAACCCAGGAGTTCAAGACCAGCATGGGCAAGATAGTGAGACTTCATCTCTACCCCCCACCCAAAAAATAAAAGCATTAAATCAGTGAACTATCTGTGTCAAGCCATACTAAACTGGAGTTTAGCAGGACAAAAGCAAACATGATGTAGAACAGAACCTATCGGTTGAATCTACCCAGGGCTGTCACTAGAGCAGAAGTCACGGAGCTCCTTGGCAGCGTGCCCACTGTGTTTGGGAGGTCTAATAAAACCAACTAGAATTTAAGACTTCAAACTAAAGTATGATTCCTTTTGGGTGTCCACACTTCAGTAGTCCAGAGCTATCATATGGCTAAAATCAAGTTATTTGGTTCACCTCTGGTATGTGTTTATAAAGCCACTGTATCAGACATTAAGATGGAGATTTGCTTCAAATTTTTACAGTGTGTGTGGTAGTCAGAAAAACCCATATCTAGTTTTCAGCTTCAGTTCTGGCATTTCTATGGGTTAGCCTTATCTCACTGATCCAACATCCAGCCTAATGCTGGAGCTCATGAAGCTGACTCTGAGAAGTTCAGAGAGTGTAGAGTTTCCCATTTAGTATTTAATTTGTCCCTATGCCATTAGTCCCCAGCTTGCAGTCACTGCCAATGTCAATGTTGACAGGATTGTGACAATATTGCCTTTCATAAAACTGAGGACCAAAGAATTCCATTATTCTAACAAAGGCCAAGTTTCATAGATTGTGGGCACATCTAGACAGATATGTGCATGCTTGATGGTGCAGAGCAACTACTCACTTCCACCAACCTCGTGCCCCCTGGCTGGCCATACAGAGGGATGTGTTGTCAAACTGAGAAGGATCTGCAAGGTAAGTCTCTAACTGAGGCCCTCTCAGGTGGGGGTTTCCGCTGTGTAGTCCCAAGCCTGTATCCGTATCATAAAACTGCAGGTTGGGCATTCCTCCAGGTTATCTGGCCAGTGTAGACTCCTTCATCTGAATATGAACCTCCAGGATAAGAATTTTTCAGACACGTCTATACTAAACAGTAGGATCCTGCACTTGCCAAATGTCTGCCTCCTTCTGTTCTGCATTGACCCATTTTTTTTTTTTTTTGAGATGGAGTCTCGCTCATGTTGCCCAAACTGCAGTGCAATGGCGCAATCTCAGCTCACTGTAACCTCCACCTCCCAAGTTCAAGCGATTCTCCTGCCTCAGCCTCCCGAGTAGCTGAAATTACAAGCATGAGCCACTACGCCCAGCTAATTTTTTATTTTTAGCAGAGGCTGGGTTTCTCCATGTTGGCCAGGCTGGTCTCGAACTCCCAACCTCAGGTGATCCACCCGCCTCAGCCTCCCAAAGTGCTGGGATTACAGCCGTGAGCCACCACACCCGGACTGCATTGACCCATCCTAATTCCTGTTAAGTGTGAGAAGAATTGTCTTCAGTTCTCTCTCCATTTTCATTCATGATGAGATCATTGATCCATTAACCAGCTGAGAAATGACTGATGCTGAAGAAATGGTATTCTATTGGTAAGGCTTATTACCAAACTTCTGATAATGAAGCAGGCTACCAAAAACTTATCCAGCCCACCCCAGGAGTGTTTGGATTTGATCATGGAAGTAGCACACACCAAAATCACCGAGACTTTAGACTACTTGTTTTATTTTGCCAGATTACCATGGGAGAGTCTTTAGTTCTGAATTATCTGTGAGTCTGAGTACTTCATAGAATTAGAAAGCAGGTACAGCTGACACCTTCTCACCATGGTGTAAATATTTACTGAGACTGGGTACAGTACTGAGGGATGATAATCTTCTGATTTATCCAATGCTGACTGTCTAGAGCAAACTGTCCACTCTGTAACCTGTATGAACACATTTCTGGGTACCTTAGAAGTTGTCTTTTTCATGTGTGCTAATATGCAGCATTTATACATTGTGAGAAGTTGATTTTAATAAAAAGGCTGAAACTTCATCTCCAAAATAAATAAACAGCCGAGCACAGTGGGGCGTGCCTGTAGTCCCAGCTACATAGGAGGCCCAGGCAGGAGGATCACTCTAGCCCAGGAGGTCAAGGCTGGATAAGCCTTGATCCTGGTACTGCACTCCAGTCTGGGCAACAGGGCAAGACTATCTCAAAAAAATATATATGGTGGCAGGCTGCGGTGGCTCATACTTGTAATCCCAGCACTTTGGGGAGGCCGAGGCATGTGGATGACCCGAGATAAGGAGTTCGACACCAGCCTGGCTAACATGGGGGCGAAACCCCGCCATGTTAAAATAAAATACAAAAATAACAAAAATACAAAAAGTAGCCAGGTGCAGTGGTGCACACCAGTAGTCTCACCTACTAGGGAGGCTGAGGCAGGAGAACTGCTTAAACCCCAGAGGCGGAGGCTACAGTGAGCCGAAATTGCACCACTGCACTCCAGCCTCAGCAACACAGACTCCGTCTCAAAAAATAAATAAATAGTAATATAGAATAGCTAACATAGCCGTTTACCTCTCAGGTGCATATGATTAATAATTCAGAATGTTACATACACTATGATTACAATGTGTACGGAGGAGTATAAGTCAGAGTCCCTGCTGTATCAGGACTCCATCTACTGGCAAAGTACCCCCTACACTTGAGTCAAACCAAATCCAGGAGCTCAGTTCCATCTCAAGCTCAAGGTAGTCTTCAGTCAATATCGGGAAATTTATGGCCAGGCAGTGGCTCACTCCTGTAATGCTAGCACCCTGGGAAGCCAAGGCCAGCTGCCTGGGCTCAGGAGTTTCACACTAGCCAGGGAACATGGTGAAACCTCATCTCTACTAAAATACAAAAACTTAACTGGGCGTGGTAGCTCACATCTGTAATCCCAGCTACTCGGGAGGCTGAGGCAGGAGAATCCCTTGGGCCCAGGAGATGGAAGTTGCAGTGATCCACCAGCGGAGTTGCAGTGAGCCGAAATCACGCACTGCACTCCAGCCTGGGAGAGAGAGAGAGACCCCATCTCAAAAAATAAATGAATAAATAAATAATAGTCCGGGCATGGTGGCTCACGCCTGTAATCCCAGCACTTTGGGAGGTTGAGGCAGGCGGATCACCTGAGGTCAGGAGTTCAAGACCAGACTGGCCAACATGGTGAAGCCCCATCTCTACTAAAAATACAAAAATCAGCTGGGTGTGGTGGCAGGTGTCTGTAATCCCAGCTACTCGGGAGGCTGAGGCAAGAGAATCACTTGAACCTGGGAGGTGGAGGTTGCACTCCAGCCTGGGCAACAGAGCGACAATGCCGCCTCAAAAAAATAATAATAATTAAAATTAAAAAAAAAAAAAACAGGAAATTTGAAAGCTTAAGGCTTGATGCCCCAAATTCTGGCAATACAAATTGATGTATCTTATTTATACATCAAACATAAACTCACATTTTTATTTTTCTACCCCGTTTTTCTGTTGGTCATTACTGATATTAAAACTAGACACTGGGTCGAGTGCATAGGCTTATGCCTGTGATCCCAGCACTTTAGGAGGCCGAGGCAGGCAAATCACAAGGTCAGGAGTTTGAGACCAGCCTGGACAACATGATGAAACCCCGCCTCTACTCGGGCCGGGCGCTGTGGTTCATGCCTGTGATCCCAGCACTTTGGGAGGCCAAGGCGGGCGGATCACAAGGTAAGGAGATCAAGACCACGGTGAAACCTCGTCTCTACCAAAAATACAAAAAATTAGCCAGGCGCAGTGGCGGGCGCCTGTAGTCCCAGCTACTCGGGAGGCTGAGGCAGGAGAATGGCATGAACCTGGGAGGTGGAGCTTGCAGTGAGCAAGCTCTGTCACCAGCCTGGGTGACAGAGCGAGACTCCATCTCACACACACACAAAAAAAACCCTGCTTCTACTAAAAATACAAAAATTAGGCCGGGTATGGTGGCTCACGCCTGTAATCCCAGCACTTTGGGAGGCTAAGGCGGGTGGATCGCTATGTCAGGAGTTTGAGACTAGCCTGACAAACATGGTGAAACTTCGTTTCTACTAAAAATACGAAAATTAGCCAGGCGTGGTGGTGTGCACCTGTAATCTCAGCTACTCAGGAGGCTGAGGCAGAACTGCTTGAACCCGGGAGGCAGAGGTTGCAGTGAGCTGAGATTGTGCCATTGCACTCCAGCCTGGGCAACAGAGCAAGACTCTATCTCAAAAGAAAAAAAAAAAATAGCCGGGTGTGGTGGCGCATGCCTGTAGTCCCAGCTACTCCGAGGCTAAAGCAAGAGAACTGCTTGAACTTGGAAGGCAGAGGTTGCAGTGAAGTGAGATCATGCCACTGCACTCCAGCCGGGATGACAGTGAGACTCCGTCACAAAAAAATAAGCTAGATAACTAACTTTAATTACAACAAATAAGCAACCTATTTTAGCTGTAAACCAAATGCTGTGCTTGGAAAATACAATTGCAATAACTAATGAATAATACTTACGTAATTATCATTTCTTCCCTTACAGTCACACAACTCAAGAGAAACTTAAATTGGATTTCTAAAAGTAAATTTCCAGATTCTAAAAACAGTAGAAAGGCATGAAATCAAATTAGGTAATTAACTGAAAATTAAGTTGACTCAATAGAGGCCTGTCCAGGATTGGATACAAGCATCCTCACTAGTGTATCAAGAGATTCAAGTCTGGGTCTCCCAGTGTAACAAGTTCCTGAACTACAAGAATAATTTAAAGCCTGTGTATGTGAATGACCATATACTACATACCGTATTTTGGTACCTTTAAGTCCATTTCTTAGATTAAGTAGGTTACATTCACAATCTACCCTATCTTAGGACAACAAAGCCTAATTTTACACACTAAGCTAACAACCTTCCAAAGGGAGTACTTCTA